TTGGGATTTTACTTTACTGGGAACTGGGATATGGGGTGTTTCTTTGCTGGGAAAGTGGGAATGTACCCCCCCCCGGTCCCCCCTCTATATATATATTACTTATACATTTCGAGATACATGACGATGTACTATATACATAGCGAGCGATTACAGCGTGTAGCAAAGCCGTTATTGCCGTGTAATCGTTAATATGTAGATAATAATTAACTAATTGAAAAATACACAGATATACAAGATTTGGTTTAACATAGCTTTTGCATTTAGTGGAGGGAGAAATAAGCTTTATTTTAATAATATAATTATTATAAGCCCCATTTCCTGATATTATAAAAATGTTGTTATGTGTTCGCGTATATTGTGGGTGCGCATATAACCTGTTTATACCAAAATAATTATTATCGATTCCAAATAATGCTTCAAAATTATAGAACACATGCAACTGAGAAGCATTGTTTAAACAACATCAGTTTAAGATTGAGAAGCTGTTTGATTACCCTTCGATTACATCGTTCGATATGCGAGCCTTACGGAATGATTGCAGAAATTCGCGCTGCGCACACTGGATGGCGCTAGTGTCGTCCCATCTTGGTGATCATGGCTGCTGAATTTGATAGCCTTGAGAAGTGTTTGGCTAAACACCTGCCTGCCGCGGACTTAAAGACAGTTAATCAGATATTATATGGCAGGGAATTAAGGTATCATTTTAACGCAAATATAAACCAATACACCATGAAAATGTCCTGCTTGTATCACCTCTAGCACCCGAGCTACTCACCTGGGCTGTAGCTCTTCTAGCTCTCTAGTACTAGTAGTAGTACTATAGTCTATAGCCCGCATATACTGCCGCTGGTAATGTAAGCTGGTAATGTAAACTGCCAGCGGCAGTTAATGTAAGCGGGCTATAGTACTAGAGCTACCTGTGCTGTAGCTTAGCTCACTGAGACAGTGTCAGTTGATCTACCATCACTGGCATCAGCACCTCTGCTGGTAGACCAATAAATTGTGCCCTAAACATTTTTATATTCTGATGTTATTTTAGGGCCCAATGGGGCAATAGCATTCCATAGACAAAACCTGTGAATTCTGTCGTGCAAAATGCACGACAACCTTTTCACTATTTACGGCCGTGTTACATAGAAAAATACAGAAATACCTAAAGCTGTCGCTTTATTAACATCTTACCCTACATTACAAAACACTTGTCATGCAGTATTCTCTTCTTTAACACGTTCAACGCTGCATGGTTACAATGACACCTACGCCCGTGTGCTGGATTTCGCGCGTTTTCCCCGCTTAGTCACTGGATTACACAAAAGTTTTTTGCAGGTGTTTAACTAGCTATAAAATTATTATAATTAGTGGCTAGTATAATATCGATATAAATTACTCTCAGACATCAAAGACAAACACCATCCGTAATCAATCACCATGATCAATAAAATCAAACACAACTCCTCAGCACATCAAAACAACTTCACAACAACCGGCGGTCAACCGCCCTTTGGCGAGGTGAACCAAAAAACATTACCTCAGTCCCAAAACTCCCAAAAATAACGTTCGCAAACAAACAGTAAAGTAATTGTATGAATTATGCCATCTACTACTGGGTTTAATAGAGTGAACGTTGTTGAATTTCTAAGCGTACAGCCCCTGACATCTATAGGAAAACATAGTAACGTTCCAAAAAATCATTTTTATTTTTTTTGGCCACGAGTATACTCGTTTCGCGGCCGTTCGTTTTGCAGGTTCGAACGAGTATACTCGTGTTTCGGCGTTGAACGTGTTAATCAGCGTTTATTTTATTAAAACATCACGACATAATCAGGCAAATTCGCTACACTCCAAACTGCCAATCTTGATTGAACCGGCGCCGGACAGCGTCACAGCGATGATTTCATTGGCCGCGTGAGAAATGTCGTTGTGCGGTTCAATGTAAGATTGGCAGTTTTGTGTGGTAGCAAATTTTGCGTGATTTTATCTGTCGTGACGTTTTATAAAATAAACGTGATTAAAGAGGAGCAATACTGCAGACAAGTGTTTGTAATGTAGATAAGATGTTAATAAAGCGACGGCTTTAGGTATTTCTTTGATTTTCTATGTAACACGCCGTCGAAATAGTGAAAAGGTCGTTGTGCATTTTCACGACAGAATTCACAGCAGTTTTGTCTTATGGAAGGCTATTGGGCCCTACAAATATAATCAGAATATAAAAATGTGTAGGGCACAATTTATTGGTCTACTCTGCTGGGTGTGCTATGCCTGTCAGGCTGTCTGGTGCTTGATTCACTGAGCAGATGCAAAATGGATGATGTTGCACTCATACTTTATCCAGATAAGGTCGGTTCAAGGCGATAGAGAACGATGGGTCCAATAAAACCATAGTGTCATTTTAGCCATCAATCAATATAATATAATATCCAACTATATAAGGTTAGAGTTAGGTTAGGGATTCTTGTGAGGATCTAGAAGGTTAGGGTTGAGG